GACAAAGGATTGGTTGAACCCGATATTCTCGTGTTTTTAGATGTCCCGCCGTATAGAACGTCGACAAGAAAAGATTTTGGTGATGAAATTTACGACAATCTCGATATTCAAGAGAAAATTTACTTGCAGTTGAAGAAATGTTGTACGGAGTCTAAAAACTGTGTGGTTGTTAACGGACAAAAAGGTATTGATGAGATAATTGACGAGGTGTATGGTTTAATAAAGCGTGTTATTTAAAGATAAACGCAGTCCTTCCTTATTTTGACACTTGTGATATGATTGTGAATAAATCAGCAGTTTGACAAATATTTTTCTATTGTATTGGCGAACAAGAAATGTTTTTAGGTGTATGATTCAAAAAATCTTCATTAGATTATCCTATTATGTACTAATTATAACAGATCTTTATACACAGCCACAACAATAAGATACATGATGATGAAAGTATAATTTATTCTAGTAGTTTATTCTTTTTGAAAATATCTATTTCTATTGATAACTATATCTATTTCCTTTATTCATACGAGTTAAAGAAACGTATACCGTAATTTTCGTTAGATAGAGCGATGTGATAATTAAAAGTTCTTTAAAAACACGGTATTTGTTATATATTAATCACAGGTAGACTCCTTATGACAGACAAGTCTTACATTCTAAAACAAAGAGTTATACGTACGATATGATCAACATTTGTTTTTTAATAAAACAGCTATTTAGATGCACTTTAATATTCAAAAGGTTAATTTGACTTGGAATATACAAAATACGCTGTTTTTAAAAGTTTGGATGTAATAAAACGCAAAATTTAACAGGATATGATCGATCTTAGTAGAACAGAAGAATGTGAGTACTATGTGATGATGGATGTAATAAAGAAACTACTCTGGTAGGAAAATGAAAATTATAATGTTTGTTCAAGTTTATAAAATCATTTTATTTAATGTTGATGTGATGGAGTAATAGTTTAACTTAAAACAATAAACCAATTAAAAATAATAAACTAAATTAAATTGCCTATAATGATGTTAATAACCGCAACGTTTGTGATAAAATATCATTAATATCTTATAATACTGCTCATTTTATTGTATTTTCATTGAATAATTCCTTTACCTTACATTGGCACGGTAAAGGGCTAAGTATCAGGTTTAGAGTGTAACCTGTGACGAGAACAGGTTACAAGTTATAACATACAGTATAAGAAAATAAGGGTAAGCATTCTCTATTTATATGTTATCATTTAGATCAACGTGCCTATTATTGTCTTGTTAATTGATAATTTTGCATTGCGTATCATCTCAAGTAATGAATGCCGTTGCTGATGGAAGAAAATTTTTGGTTTTCTAACGACCCATAGGATGGGCGATAGGAAGCAACAAAAGGAGTTAAAGAAGCAAAAAAAACTTGAAAAATTCATTAAAAAGCAGTCAAAGGCACAGCAGACAGAATGCAAGAAGAATATTAAACTGCAGATATCACAGCAAGACGCTATAACACGAACACCTGAGGGTGAACTAAAGAACGTAAACCAGGCTATGGGTGCCTATGATCCTATGCAGGTCGAGGAGGGATGGTATTCATGGTGGGATAAAAAAGGCTTTTTCAAACCAGAGATCTTAAAAAAACACCGAGATGATGTACGTGAGCCCTACGTGATGGCTTTGCCCCCGCCAAATGTTACCGGCAAATTGCACATAGGGCACGCCATGATGGTGGCAATTGAAGATGCAATAGCGCGTTACAAAAGAATGCAGGGATTCGAAGTGCTTTTTGTGCCGGGCTGTGACCATGCCGGCATAGCAACGCAAACCGTAGTAGAAAAAAAGCTATACAAGGAAAAGAGGCTTACGAGATACGATCTGGGCCGAGAGAAATTTATTGATATGGTATGGAAATGGAAAGAGAAATACGGAGATACAATCATAGAACAAATAAAACGACTGGGAACATCGGTAGATATGGGTCGATACGTTTTTACATTGGATAAGAAGGTGAATGAGGGCGTGATTGAGGCATTCGTACAGCTTTACGAAAGAAAATTGATTTATAGAGAATCAAAACTGATAAACTGGTGCTCAAAGCTGTCTACAGCGTTGAGTGATCTTGAGGTCGATCATAAACCTGTGAAACCGTTCACTAAGCTGCAGGTTGACGGCAAGAAATACGTTTTTGGCGTATTGTACGCGATAAAGTATCCTCTTGCAGACAAAGGATCGGCCGAAATTAACGACTACGTTGAGATTGCCACCACGCGACCAGAGACAATTATTGGAGACACTGCGCTGTGCGTCAATCCTATGGACAAGCGCGCCCAGTATCTGAGGACAAAGGTGGCAATCAATCCGATAACCAAGGAAGTAATTCCCATCATATTCGATGAGTACGCAGAAATGGAATTCGGAACAGGCGTTGTCAAAATTACACCGGCTCACGATTTCAACGATTATGATTTGGCAAAAAAGCACGGGCTGGCCGTAAAAAACGTGTTAAACGAGAACAACGAGGTGTGTGTGGAGGGCAGTTTTTACAAAATGAAACGATTCTACGCCAGGATAAAGGTACTGGAGTACCTGAGGAGTACGGGGCTGTTTGTCTCTGAGACAGGCTATGAGCAGACTTTACCGATATGTTCGCGCTCAGGGGATGTTTTAGAGCCGCACTTGAAGAAACAGTGGTGGCTGGACTGCAAGGGTATGGCTAGAAAGGCAATAGAGGCGGTGGAGAGCAAGGAGCTAAAGATTGTGCCTGATATTGCCATCAAAAATTGGAACTATTGGCTGTCAAACATAAGAGACTGGTGTTTGTCTCGGCAGTTGTGGTGGGGCCATCAAATACCGGCGTACGAGGTGTTAAAAGACGGTGAAAGTGCGGGCTGGGTCGTTGCACGAACCAAGGACGAGGCAAAACACAAGGCAGAAACTACTTTTAAGCTGCAGACAGGTGATTATGTGCTCAGACAGGACGAAGACGTTCTTGATACGTGGTTTTCCTCAGGACTGTGGCCATTTGTGATCCTAGGATGGCCAGCCGCAACCGATGATTTTGCCCGCTACTTCCCCAATTCTATATTAGAGACCGGTTCAGACATTTTGTTCTTTTGGGTTGCACGGATGGTGATGCTCAGCCTTGAACTGACGGGCAAGGTGCCGTTCAATACGATCCTGCTGCACGGCATCGTACGAGATGCAAATGGAAGAAAAATGAGTAAAAGTCTTGGTAATGTAATCGATCCGCTCTACGTGATAGAAGGCGTTCAGCTTGACGAGTTGGCCAAGAGCATCACGGCAACGAATCTCGATCCAAAGGAAATTAAGGCGGCGTTGGAAGGACAGCGAAAAGACTTTCCGATGGGAATACCGCGATGCGGATCTGATGCGCTGCGCTTTACTCTGTGCTCGTACACGTCTGGAATGAAGGACGTTAATCTGAACATTTTGAGGGCGGACGGGTACCGCAAATTCTGCAATAAACTGTGGAACGCTTTTAAATTTGTGCTGAAAGCGGTTGAGAGCACCAAACTTAGCACCGATGATATCGATGAGTTTGAAAAATCGTTTTTAAAATCTCAGAAACGCGCAGATGCAGATCGAGGGCCCGATCGCAGTGCAGCTGACAGCTTAGAGGACAGAGAGCTTTTCGTGGAGATCAGCAGCGGAGTAAACGAGCGGAGTGTGAGCAAAACGGATGTTAGCGACAAGCTGTTCGTCAAAACATTCAACAAAGTTGAACCAGAGCTTGAACACAGCGTAAAAACGCTGAGCATCTCAGAAAATGGTCTCTCCTCGGTACGATGCGTAATTGAATGGCTTTACGGGAAACGCGAGGCCATGATTGAGGAGTTCATCAGCAGCATGGACACATTCAATTTTATGAGCGCCACGCAATGCATTCATCAGTTTGCGCTTTACACCTACTGCGATGTCTTCATTGAGGTTGTGAAGCAGTGCACACAGACTGAGTACGTGGCTGCTCTGGTGCTCGTGTTCAGGGATATAATTCTGCTGCTGCACCCGTTCATGCCCTTCATAACTGAAGAGCTGTTCCAGAGACTGAGAGCCCTCAGAATTCTAAATCTTCTTGAATCGATCACCGTTGAACGACTGCCCCGGCGCTTTGATCACGAATTTACCGACAGCTTTTCGCAGATCACGAGCATATGCAGATCGGTACGATCAATCATGGATTCTAACAACCTTAAGAGTGCTGATGTACAATTTAACGACAAGAATACGCTCTGCTTTGAGAAGGAGATGAGGGCGCTGTGTAGAAATGTTAGATCGTTTGAATATGTTGAAGAAGTGCAGGGACGATACATTGATCAGGTTGGACCGGTCAAGTTTTCCATTTTGCCTGAGGATAAATCTGTGATATCTGATACAGCAAGTAGTTCTGAGACAGAATACTAAAATAAAATGGTTTCTGTATTTTTGGTTCAACGGATCATTTTCTCTCTCTTATCACTTTCTGTATTTAATTAACGACTTGTCTTTGTTGTTTTTACGGTTATTGCCGTCATTCTATTGCATTCATAAAAATATGCGGCTGTCGTACGTGTGAAAAGAAGTGTTCTTTGTTATTTTTATATCATCTGTGAAGTATCAGCAGTTCATTACTAATTATAACTTACATCGTTAAAAGGCATTTATTGAAAACTTGGACTATTATGATACGCTAATGTGCTGTTTTTATACATACGAGCATTTATACGTGTTAAGTATTAGTGAAATAGCGTGATTAATAGATGATGTGTTCGTATTTAAGACAGACTATCGTTAGAAAATTCTTGTAAATTTGTGTTTATCGTACTATTTTATGTAACTATGGTGTTTTTATATCATCACATGACGATGGTAATTGATTTCTAAATTGCTTTTACCAATAAACGGGTTATTTATAACTGCACTTCATGTAAAGATCGAGGATCGTAACGAATAAGACTTATTTGTTTTTGAATGAATATTAGTTTTATATTTACAATGTTGTAATAGCCGCTGTTGTGATCTCACTTGGTGTAGCGGTCAGCATTCCAGCCTGTCACGCTGGCGACCCGAGTTCGATTCTCGGAGTGAGAGCTTTTTTCTACCAATTTTAACCAATTGGTAGTTCTGATATGTATTTATTTTAAACTGTTGATATGTGTGTTATAAAATTATATTTCTGTTTTTAGACCAAAGGCTGTAGTTGATATTATTGTTGCTGTGCAATGAGATAGTTTATCGAGCATATGCTTTGGTTGTTTTTTTACACTACCTGTTAATGGCATCGATGAGGAGTAACTACCATAATTGTAGTAAACCAAGTTCTTATTTATCATAGCTAACATAAAGATTGGAATGATTATCATATTTAAACGATGGTAGTAGTGTTGTATGAACACTACGACAATAATATTAATCGCTTTATAATCTACCCTAAGATTCGTTCATGGGTTTAGCTATACATATTAATATTTAATTATGATGTATCGTTGATTAAAGTTCTTTAACTTATTTTTTAAAGAATGCCTTGCTCAATCTTATACGAAGAATGAATATAAACGTTTACCTATAGGAAATTTTCAGTTCTCGTGTGCTCTAACCTGATTGCTTTATATTTTACTTCTAAATTTATATTTTACTTATAAGAATCTTGACATGATCATTCTGCTAAGACGTTTTCGAGAGGTATTCTGATGGTTCAACATAAACAATCGATTATAAGGCATTTTATGTATTTCTATTAGCCTCCTCTCGCTTCACTCTTACAACAGTTTGTAACGATTCAGATTCCTGTATTTACCATCATGATGTTTTCGCTAACTTATTTAATTAAAACAAAACAAAATATTGTTTAATTAGTCCGACATAACCATCAGATAATAGTAATATAAGTTTGTTTTCATTGGCCCGGTGATGAATAACATTTTGAATCTTCGAAATATCTCACGTATATCACGCTGTCGAATTGATAAAAGCCTTGTTACCGGTAAAGAAAGCGTTGCATCAGGAAGAAAAGCGCAAAAATTATAAAAGATTAACCTATAACACCAAATAAATCGTAAATTATACATTTTCGTTGCCTTGAATATTCTTCAACTGAACTTTATTCTGATTTTTGAAACTCAATAAACGATGATGTTGTTAAGGGACGTTCAACTCACTAAAAGAGTTTGTTTAAATATGTAGAAAATAATTAAATAAAGTTTTATAGAAAAAACACATGAGAATGGACATTAAAACCATAACATTACGAATACATTCTAAATTATTACCGTAAAATGCATATACGACATTAAATTTGGTATAGATTTGCAATTAACTTTCTACTCTCTCGTAGTTTTAACTTCTCTTGCTCGATAACATTCTTAAAGTTAATAAAAAATCATCAGCTCAATATAATTGTATTCAAATTTCAAAAATTATTAACGTTTAATGGTGCGACATACGTAAATTTTATCACTCAGGACATAAGCGCCCTAAGAACTATTCCAATGTCATGTCATACGAAAATGATTAACAGTGATAATAACAATTCACGGCTATAAAAACAAACAAAAGAGAAAAGGTGATGCTATCACCAGAAAGATCTTACCAAATAAAGAAATTACGGAGTACACTAGAACTATACATACTGTACTACAACGCGTTTCTTACGCTCGCAATAATAATACAACCTCAATTAGGAGCACATGACCCTTTTATCATCACCACAATCATAGAATATGTAATAAAGAACTACGGGTTCATCGTTACGATGGTTGTGCGTGTGTTAGCAAGTCGTTCATCTGGATTAGGTTACAAAATTCGTATGGTATTCGTTGATTTTTTGTTTTATTTTGTTAATACGTGCAAGTACAGCCTGTGTAATTTATGTGATAAGATATTCTCCAAAGAATTTGAGTTTAACACATCCGGCCATGTTTTTATACTGTCGTACTTCTCGTATTTAGTCTTTCTTGCATACAAAATAAATCCTAAAACGCACATACTTGCCACGAGTCTCGTGGTTTGGTCCGTTTACTTGATTTATGTTGTTAATACGATTATATTTTATCACACAAAAGGAGAATGCTTTGTCAGTGTAATTCTTGCTACGATCTCTTCGTACACTCATCTTGCCATTATTTTAAAATTAAAGCTTGTTTGATTTACGGCCGGTGTGGAACATACACTTATCAGTGCACACGTCATCTTATGATTAGGTACGGGTTTCTCAGCTGAAACGCGTTCTATTAGATGAGGTTTTTAGTAATTGGCAGATTCATAATTTTTTATTATTGTTTTATTTCGATACTCTACATTGATATTATAGAGAGCCAAGAGAAAAGTGTTAACACCTGAATTTTCCTTCTTTCTTAAACCATCACTTATTTAATTTCTCGTACACTTCACATACATACTTAACTTCTTTCTTA